TTCGTTCCTGAAAATCGCTGCCAATGAACAGCTCACATACATTTCTTATCAATTAGTTATAACGTTTGAAGAACATTGTTAGACTTGAAAACTACAGAAACGTAGAGATAAAATCCCTTTTAAACAAGAACAGAGAATATAACATCACATGATATTTTACATTAATACCTTAGTATATAACAAAATATTAACAGTTACATTTATTTATCTGCATGTTAAAAATGGAATTATACCTAATTTGCTCACAAATAAATTCAAAGAAACATAGACCAAGCACAGTCTGCTGTTACGAGGTACGAAACTATATTTAGCTCCCGAGACAAAATTAAAATTGACTACACATTATTTTTTAACCAAAGAAATACAATTCATCTTTCACATATTACCTTTTAGCTCTGAGATGCTACGTGTTTGCAATGCTCATCCACCAGAAACACAACACATAACCTCCAAATTTCTTCCGTTGACCTCAGCCTTCTTTATTCTTAACACTTTTCGTTTATAAAAGAGTGAAAAGATTATTCGTGACCTTCCCGAAACGTCAGTCTGTACGTCATATATTTTCGGAATTACAAAAGAGTGATACTGCAGCTTAAAATAATATCAGCTCCCAGGTTTATTATTTAAACATATTTTCCCTAAGGACAAAACGTTTCAATTCATCAAAATCCTCTTCCAACCGCATCTCAACTCTTCCACGACCTGTTTTCATCCATCATATCTGGGTCTGTGGTTTTTTGTGTAAAATCGTGTAGCTGCATGCAGATCAAATTTGCATCGCTTAAGTTTCCTGACCTCAAAGAATCAGCCAAAGTATTTTTCCACCGGTTTAACCAACATTTTCTATAATTTAACTCACTAAACCGATACATTATTTTACTTATAGCCTACGCCGAATTATGAACGCTTGCTTTTAATTCTCAAATATGTATGCCGTCATCTCTGCTTATCGGTTTTGTTAAATACTTAAAATTGCATTGGCCAGCGTCGGTAAATAAATAAAAGCGGGATTCGACAGCAAGACCCTCGGCGTAAGGAGCCCTGGCACTCATTTGATGGTAAAGGGCTCCTTTATTAAGCGTTATTTGCACGAAATGCATAGAGAGTACGTTTTATGGCTGGTCGTGACTGTCTGCCCGTCCATCCGTCTAGTCGATTCTAACTCGGGAACCCCCGGAAGTACGTACTTTCCTGCACGACCTAAAAATCATACGTTTTTAGTATTCTACGAGTGGTGATATACAAAATGGCTGATTTGGAAATTCATAATGTAGAAACTGAGGTACTGTAATATGGTGGCCAATGTGGGAACTATCGTGCAAGGCGGATTTAATACCTCTACACGTACTTTGCAAAGAACCCATGCGGATTTTCTGTGGATTTCTGTATGGAATACACTTTCTGAACTTCATAAATATTGGGTTCAGCTTCTGTAAGTCTAACCTTGCTGTGGTATAGGCTCTATCGTTTTAACGGACTGGAGATACTGAAACGCGCCCGGCGAACATAAATGTTTTGGAAACTCTCTTGTCCTCTATAGTTAGAGATCTCGACCTCAATCCTTTGCAACTTTTACTTACTGCTGTCATGGAAACTTCAAGTGAAGAGGATGCTTGTGTGTGTAGACGCTGCAGGAATCTTTGATGACCCACCGGACGTGCGTGAGTACCAGACCGATCATGAGATTCTTTCCTCATTCACGATCGAGACTGAAGGCTTCATTCACACAGAATAATACGTAGATACGAACAAAGTCGTCTGCACGAGCAGCAGGTTATTAGTTCAGGTGGGTAGTAGCGCAGTGTAGTCTGGTCAGGGCAATGAGTGACTCGTCGTCCTGATGATGGAGGCATAAAGACCTCCGAAATTGTGATAAACGTCTACTAGACTACACGGCGCCGCAACCCATATGGCAGCAATCTACGTTCTCACCGCCGGGGGAAACCTCAAACCATAATATTCTGGCATTAGACAGGAGTGTAAAAACAGAGCATAACTAGATCAATTTCATTTCACTGTTATCCATAAATTATTATCACTCCATTACCCCGCTATCTCTCTCCACTGCCCTTCCATCATCTAGCTACAATCCACCCCATTATCTATCTAGAATCCCTTAATTATCTCGCCACTTTCCCTCCATTATTCCTCCATAGCCCGCACTATCCACTATTATCGCTCATTGTGTTCCAATGCTGAGTTTTTGACTGAATGCGCTAGCGGACAGAGGTTACGAATATTCACGATGCTGTTAGTTTTTCCCGATCATTTTACGACGTGAGCAAACGAACTGAAAGTAAGCTTGTAAGTAATGTGTGTTATGAACTTGTAACTATTCACTAAGTAACCAATTACCCAGCCCACAAATTAACTCCATGATCCAGATGATAGACAGTAATTAGGACAAGTAAGGTAACAATTTAGGTCGATCAAACATGAAATCGCCTTTATTGTGAGCTGCATGTCAGTGGACAACGTTGTAGCTGACCCCAATTCCAAAGCAGCTTATAGCGACTGTGGCCTAGCAACATACTGTGGCTCCGTTAATATGAACAGGATATAGGCCTGCAGGAGTTGAAACCGGTTGCAAGGCAGCTGTAAGAATGAGACGAGACGTTTCGTTCATACCGGACAGAAAGTGAAATCAATACAGCAAATACATTTCTTAGTACTTCGTAACAACGGCTCTCGTAAATACAGATTTCAAACATGGCCGTTACCTCGGCGTCAAATGTAGAGAATTATTCAACGTTTCAGCGAACACTGCAGGTCCCATCTTCGGAATGAATTTGTAGGAAGTGGCCTTTTTTAGGACACGCATCCACTGCCTGCAAAATTCGCCCTGAAGATGGTAACTGCAGTGTTTGCCGAAACGTCGGATAAATTTCAACATCCTACACTGCTCATCCTCGAAAGCCTCGAAGTTGCATATTAAATTCCAGCTGCAAAAACCAAAGGACAAGAATATCTTTGGGATGTTGCACTGTATTCTAGTAGACCCATCCTCCGACGTTTCAGAGGCTTGACAAACGCAAACTGCCGGGGGTTATGAAGCAAGGCAGTAATTCATATTTCCTTTACATCTGTAAGAAATGAAGTGTTAATAGTTAAAAAACTTAAAATTGTCTCCTAATTTCATACGTAAATGCTGGACACAATCATTTCTCGTATTTGCGCCGTTCAAAGCGCCCAATGTCAAGGTGAAGAGAATGTCAGGACCGCGGGTTGATATCTCGACTAATGCATGGCGGGTTAATACGGTATTTTTAATTCAATGAAAGATGAAAATGTTTAAATAGCTAACTACATGCAGCGGAAAAGCTGATGGTACGTACGCTCACAAAGTTCCTCAACTTTTATGGAACTAGAAGGCCCGCCAGTCTCATCCTCCTCTATTTAATTATCCTAACAATATTTGACGAAGAGTACAAATTATGGAGATTATGCGTGGAAATTAATGCCACGTCATGTTCAGTTATTTTAATATGTCTGTTGGATCTGTCATGCAGTAAGAAGGTGGGCGGTAGCCACGTCTGTAGTTTCAGTGGTCATCCTTCTTCCTGACAGAGCTCTCTTCAGGAGTAACATTGCTAGAGATACTTTTGACTCTCTCCGGACTCCCAGACCAGGACTAAAAGTGAATTGTTCCTCACCAACACCCGTCTGTCATAATACATCACACCCACTTGTGAAAACAGAAAAAGGTTTAGCTGGAAGTAAATTGCTATTAAATGTAGGGCGTATCGTCAGAATTTTTTTTTTAAAAAAAAGTTCTCATAAACTCTAATTTTTCAGCTGTTCCGTGCCTCCGTCTCGACAAAAGACCACAAACGAAAGAAAATATTTAGTGCAGCGAGGTCTAATGCTTTGTGCAATGCACATATAAACGCAATGTGAGTAAAGACATTTACAAGTTGTTCAGCCACGCGTGTCCTATAAAACAGAATGAATTATAAACATAAAATCCTACCTACAGTGCTAGAATTATGGCTCTCCGTGTATTTTAAGGGGGGTTATATAAATCTGGCATCTTTAGTTTATGGCACAATTAACAGTTTATCCCCGCTTTAATTATTTTACAATCACGGTCCAATTCTGTTCATGTCTGCTCTTACTGACCTGCTTCAAGAGGAAAAATGAGACGAACTCTTCAAATGACTAGCGTGCTACGATGTTGGTCTCCGTGGAGGAATGCGGGCTGACATCAGGAGTGTTGTTTCTGCTACGTATAAAAGTGTCAGACTGGGGGATGCACCATTAAACGTTAATTTGTTATAAAATTAAAAAATTAAAGAATGTTTAGTGTGTGGGAAATTACGTTTCTTTAATTTTATCTTCAACGAACATGCAAATAGATAAGATAATTCCGGATCATTATCTGTAGTGCAGGTCTACATTGCAAATGCGACAGAGGAAACTCAGAAAACTCTCTGCTGTTTTACCAGTCCGTGAACTAGGAGAGGTCGCAATCTCTGTGCAACGTTAACTGATTATACACGACAGAGTTAGCTGACGTGCGTTAGCACGAACAAACAAAACATGCAGATTTTTAACGGGGTTCCGAAGAATGAAGCCTGTATCTTGGGAAACATGAGACCACTATCGGCGCCATTTATCTTGGCAGAGAAGGAGGAGGGAGGTTACTATGACACGCTCTGCTCAGTACGACCTTTTAAAATACAATTTTTTCCCCACTACACACACACACGTATTGTCAGCGGCGTGCACGTGCAACGATAGAGCAAACAAAGTCACGCTTCATGTCGCATGATCAGTGATTGCGTACTTTTCCGTCCCGTTGCACAAACCAGGCCGTAACGAGCCGAGAGCAGACGCCAAGCAATCTGACGCGAACAATAACATGACGTGACGGATCGCAAATACGTATTGGCTTCCCGGTACTAATTCGGACAGGCTGTTTGATTTCAAATGATGCCGAATACTGATCGAGTTATTTCATTTCAGCTGATGACGTTAGTAACTAGGATATTTTATTTCAGTAGCGGCCCCGCTCCTCATTCCGAAATGGTGTCTCGCCGGAAGATTCTGTCGCGGTCACGTGACGACCTGAACCTGGACTCCGCTTTCGTGATGCAGGAAGAAGAAGAAGACGTGTGGTACCAGCGGGACAAGTTGTACAAGGTAAGAGGAACATCGTCATTGACCACACCCTGGGAAATACAGGCTGTTTCAAGAAACCTGGCCGATAATGCTTTTATTTCTAAATCTAAATTTGTTTAAATCTTGTCAGTCAAATCACAATAAAATTCCTATTAA